CGACTCGTCGAAAGTGTTTTCTCTTCCACCTCTGTCAAGACCAGTCTGCAAAAGAAGGGCAGCAGACGTGTTCGTGGCTGCACCAAGGGCCAAAGGCCTGCAGGGCGGCGCTACGCGCTGTAGCGAAGACACGGGTAAAGCTGAAGAGCGAAGCGAATCAGCCGTTTTGCATCATCAGAAGCCTCGTTGAGCGCCCCGAGGGCGGCTACTTCCTGTAGGTAGTGCTCCAACGTGGCCATGTGCTTAAGGCGAAGTTTCCACTGTATATCTTGAATCGGTACTCCTCTGTGGTATGCAGATACTGCCCCACCACCCCTGAGGCTGCCAGGGGTGACGAGGACGGCACCGCCAAGAACCCGCAGGCAATGGTCCCAACGACTGCGAAACGCAGAAGGGCTCAATGGGAACAGAGGTTCTGCAGGTTGAAGGTCCTTGAAGGCAATCGTAATAAGCTCCATAGCAGAGGGGTCATCGATCCGGATGTGCTGCACCTTCGGTCTTCCTCTCGTCGCGGTCTTTGAAGTGTCCAGTCGTAGGAAAAGGGCCTCGGCGGAGGGAAAGAGATCATCCCGCAAAAGCAGGTGATGCCTTTCACACTTGAGGACCTCTCCTACCCGAGCCATTCCGTAGAAAGCCAGCAAAGCGCACCCAGCCCAACGCCTGAGACCACGTAGCCACCCAACTGTGACCATCGCTCGGAGCAGAGGTTCGGGCAGGGGAGTGCGGTGCACAGTCGGCTCCACAGCTTCCCACCTCGTTAGAAGTTCCCAAGCAGGTCCGAGCGACCCTTCGAGAGTCAGAATGGCTCGTTGAGCCCCAACCAGCGTACCGAAAGGTGTGGTTTGAGGCTCCAGAAGCGTACAAGTGGTTGCCGTAGGCGCGGAGGGCCATGGCAGCTAAGGCTGGACAAGACGCAAAGACCGACAGAGGATCGACCGAGAGAGAGTGAGAGACCCAAACAAGGAACGCGTCCCAAGCCCAGGTCCCAAGCCGCAGAGAGGTGTCAGACTGGAGAGGGCGACTTCCAAGTCTCCAGAGCGACGGGCAGCAAGAAACGCTCGAGAAGCGCGGCGGGGGCCCGGGTTTTTGGCCTCACCCACCCGACAGCAAGACCCAAGCTTAGCGCAGGCAGAAGGGTCGAGGGAACGAGCTGCAGACCATCCACAAGAAGCGGACACGGCCGTCGCTAAAGCATCGGCGAATCCAGCCGGGGAGGTATCAGCAACTGCAGTCCAAGGCAACCGATGCGCGGGGGAACGGCCAACCAAACGCAAGTGCGACTCAGCACGGTCACAGAGCAACCTGGCACCTGCAAGGGCAGTGTTGGTGGCAACTCTCGTGCGTTTCCGCCAAAGCACCCGAACTGACACATGTCCGCACGGAAAACGTGACGCGAACTGGCAGAAGCCTCATCCTCCCAACCCGGCATGCGCCAGAAGTAAGACGTGTCGGGATTTTCAGCACAGTAGAAAATGCCCAGCGATGATGCGAGGCGAATGACTCTTAAAATCCACTGATTCAGCAAATTGTCGGCGGCAACCTTACTGAAGGAACCTGGAGAAAGGTGGACGAGGCCACGAGGGCTCGACCGAGACCTGACGGGTGGTCTGACAGCACACGAAAAAGAAGAAGCGGCAGGCTTCACGATCACAGCATCTGCTTGCTACACAAGAAGACCTGGGGTGGCCACCAAAAGGTACAGAAAGCAAAATATCAGTATCTGCAACTCTGATATTTTGAATCGGGGACCGCTGGGCGCCTCCCAGCCCCTCCCCAAAGGACCCACTGATGCACAAACCAGCGTACTGAGACGTGGGGGCTGCAAGCGAACCAGAACACTCAACGACAGGAGCAGCACCTGAAGACCTTGCGCCTGTAGCACCTGTGGAGGGACACTGAAGGCCTCCGCCAAGGGACCCAAGGCCCAAGCCTGCATGCTGAGACGTGACGGTTGCAAGCATACCCGAACACTCAACGACCGGAGTTGCACCTGAAGACCTGTCTCCTGTGGGACCTGTGGCGGGATGCAACAAGTTTGAGTGGCGGGCCTCGTCAGCAGTCACGGTGGGACTGTGCAGGACTAATGGCCGGGAGCCGCCCAAGTCAAACAAATCCTCCTGGCGAAAATCAGAGAAATCCCCGTCATTCGACTCGACCTGCTTAAGGAAAACATCGAAAGCCCAAGCAGAGCCCGCAGCGAGCTCTTGCCACCAGTTAGGGGGCTGCAAAGATGGTCGTCGCACAGCCTGCCCACGGGTGGGATCATCCGCTGGATTAAGTGCAGAGGGGAAAAGAAATATGCAGGAAAGATCCGACTTGACAGCAATGGACCTAAAGATGCCTGCAACAATTTGTTCAGGGCAGGGCTCGCAGACCTGCCCTTGACAAGTGCACCGAGGCATACTTGTGAATCCAATCCAAAAAGCTGCCTGGCGATATTTATGTGCACGCACGTCCTGTATTCTTGTCTCCAAAGGCAACGGTACGCGGGCACACGGGCAGCAGCTTCAGCGACAGGGTGAGTAACAAACTGCATGTCCCCGGGTAACTCTGACTCCGGAGGCAGGAGGTCATGTTCTCGCAGCCAGGCAGAAGGGGGAGTGAGAAGGCGAGTCCACGCACCTCGTTGCAAGGCATGCCTGTAAAACTCCTCGGCAACGCCGGTCGGTCTCGATGTCAGCCTCAACAGCCGCCTGCCACGAGCTTGAAGCGTCCGTTGCGATGATGTGATCGCGAACGGGCGCGAAGGTCAAGCACTGCGGTATGCCCAAGAAGCACAAAAGTGGCAAGCTCAGAGAGCAGCTCGGGTGACAAACGCAGCACTGTTTGAGGCTCGCCATGACGAACGGCTTGGAAGCATAGGTCAGCCAGGCACAGCAGACGACGCCGCAAAATGAACACTGAAACCCAAGAGCCAAGTAAGCTTTCCAGCAACGACCGTGTGGCCAAGCCGAGTTGCATGACCCTGGTGGTGATGAGCACAAGAGCCCAATAGGGAGAGGGATTCGCACGAACCAAGCCGGCCGTGCCGCAGCAGTCGACGCCCCAAAAGGAGGCCCTGGACTGGTCCTCAGAGGTTTTCTTGGGACTGAAGCGAAGATCGGCGCGGTCATAAGCATCCAATGCCATGCGAAGGCGCTGAGAGCGCTCAGATAAACCAGGCGAAGCGCGATACAGCTCCAGGTCACGGGCCAGACACCGCTGTAAGATGATCAAGTCGTCATGACGAGGCCGATCGAAAGCAAACCCCGAGGCGGGGGAGAAGCATGCACGAGAAGCTCGCCTGGGAAGAGGGCGCGACCCGAAACCAAGGTCCCTAGATGGCTGCACTGGGCGAACTCGCACGCTGACGAGTCACCCATAGCTAAGGACGACAGCCCAACCAAGACAGGTCCATCAAAGGCATCGAAGGACCCAGGTGTTGCATCAAAAACCAGTTCAGCCTCACGAGCGTGAGCTCGCATGCTAAAAGATTTCTGACGGCCCTTTCGTCTGACACCTGGAACTGATAGAAACAATCGACCAGATCAGTCCCTGACATGAGCAACGTTTCATGGTCCGAAAAAAGCACCCCAGCTAGGCAGCTAGCAGAAGCGAGGGCTCGGACCCATCGACCAGGAAAACTTTCCAGTTGATTAGCTGGACGGGCATCGAGCACCAATCGATCGCGAAGCTCGTCCTTCGCAACACAAAAGGCACCAGCACCCCATCCGCGACGTTCATCCGGCACAGCCTCAAGCTGCCGAAGGCGCCCACTTTGAGCGAGAGAACGCAAGAGCAAAAGCGTCTGCGTGCGATCAGCCAAGATCTTCACGAACGGAGGCTGGTCGACACCAGGTTCGGGATGGCGTGCGAACCTCAAAGGGCTCTCATAGAATTCTTTCGTAGTGCTGTCCATGTAAAGTTGAGGGCGAAAGCAGGGTTTGGCAGGAAGCTTCACGCGGTCGGCCACGACATCATCACAAGCCTCAGCGAAGGGCAGCGGGCATGGCCAGGTGTAGGGTGTGGGGGAAGTTTGCTCCCCGAACTGCAACGAAGAACGAAGAAAGGTAGAAAAGTGCCCGGAGCATTTCAAAAGAGACCGGGTCATTGAATTCCAGAAGGCAGGAAGAGCGAGGCAGGGGGTATCGGAGCTCGTAGCGCGTTTCGCGGCACCTCCTGTCATGCATCTGCTTTCGGCTTTCGGGGGGGCCTTCTGGGAGGCCGGTCGCTGTTGTCCCCGATGGGCTCGCTGGTGTCCTTGTTGATCAACGGAGAGTGGCGGGTAGAAAGCTTTTGCCTTGTGTCGAGAAAATCTGCCTCGTCCCTCAACCTGCTCAGCGCTATCTCTGCCCACCTCGGATCCAGCAGTCTCGAATACACGGGGTCGGTCGATGAGGCTGGTGCTTCGTGGCGCTTGAACGCCCCCATCGGGGGGGGGGGGTAATTCTAATGAAAGTTCTTGGGCGAGCAACCAGGAGCCGCGATCGACTGACATCTGATCTGCTTGTAAGAGTGCAATGTTGAGTCTGGCCCTCGCCTGTTCTGCTTGCCCTGCTCGCAGACAGTCTAGGGCTCCGGCAATGGCCCAGCTTAAATGAACAACGGTCGGATAGGCCTGCACACGGCTCCGATGCTCGAGCCACCCGCGAGCGGATGTAACCGCGGGCGACCCAACACCTGGCGTGGATGCCGCCAAATCTTCCCCCATCAACTGCTCGATGAGGGAGGAGAGTTCTTGAGGTGACGTAGTCAATGCTTCCCGAAGAACTCGACGAGCAGCGGCATTGCGCCTGCCCGTGTTCAAGGAGCCCTCGAGTGGGCCAAAGCCCTCTCGAGAGGGGAGGCCTTTGCGGTTGAGCTCCGGCCTGCGGCTGAATCGAGGCACCTCACCAAGGCCTGAGCTAGAGCATCCGCTGCCAGAGTGTTGCGACGAGTGCTCGGCTCGGGAACCGGGTCCTCCGTCTCCTGCCGCGGCTCCTCCTCGGACTCGTCCAGAGCTGTGCTTGCGCGCAGCGGGCGTGCTGGCTCGCTGCGAAGACGGGTGAGGGGACCGGAACTGACTAGACGACTCATCTCTGACAAAGCTTGACGCTCGACACCTGCCGCGATGGCCGCGGCCACCACCCCTTGGTCCAAACCGGGGAAGTCCTGCGTGGCGGGTCCTGCCTGCACTTTGGAAGTGGCCTTGCGCGGAACCTTGCCAGGAGCAGGGGGCTGCGATGCGGGAGCGACGGGCTCCCCAACTGAACGGCCCTGACCGCCGCCTTGAAGCGAAGCCGAAAGCTGAGCCAGAGAACGTTCCATGGTTGCAAGTCGCTCCGCTAAGTCCTGCGAAGGGGCTGGAGCTTCGTTGGCAGTCTGCGCTGAAGTGCTGCGGCAGCAAGCTGGGCTTGCCAAACCTCGGCCAAAGCCTCGACAAAAGGAAGCAAAGGCTCGCCTGATGGGAGCCGGCCGAACCCAACCACTGGTTCTTCGTCGGAAACTTCCAAAGCTGATTCTGCATTGGGCTCGCAATATTCCAGCTGTCTTGCAACGTACAAACTGCAGTCTCCGCGGTGAACACCTTTGACATGAAACCTCTGGGAACCGACCTCTTTGCAACCTTCCGGTGCCAAGCGGCAGCGGGGACGGCAATCAGCAATTTTCCTTGCACCTCGCCAACCGCCAAGGCCTGAACAGAAACCTGATTTCCTTCCTCGTCCTCGCCACATCTTAGGCTAAGCAGGGGACAAAACAAATCGACAAAGTCCTCCCCAACTGCAACAGCATCTCTAGGTGACAGGGCCTCCCCATCAACATCACCCAGCTCCTCCTCCATCTCACCAGCTGGCTGGCAATGTAACCTGCGCTGCCGCGGCTACAGCAAGCACGTCCCTGCGAGCAGGGAGCCCAACGAACACAGAGTCTAGTCGCTGCCTTTCTTGCACAAAGCGGCGCACTCAGAAAACCTGGTACACACGATCGCTGGCGAGCACTCGTTTCCTTCAAAGGTGCAGACGACCAGCCACAACCGACTCTGCAATTGCAACCTGTCTCTCTTCGAGGTTCCCCTATGTTGACCCGAAAGAGCCCGCCTAAGGAATAACCTTATCTCCCTGCAAGCAGCTGCCCTTTCCGAATCGGCAGTGGAGCCGCGTATGGTAACCGGAGCGCCCTCCTGAACAGACAGCGCCCCAGCCTCGGCCCGAACTGCGGAGTCCGTCGAAGCACTGGCAGCTGGAACGATGTCGAAAGAAGAATCCCGGGAGCGTGCGTTCAGCCGCGCCTCAAGTGCAGCAACTTGGCTTCGCAAAGAAACCACCAGCTCCTCCAAGTGTTGAACCCGGAGCTCCAGGCTCATGCACGGCCTACCCGCACCTAGAGCAACCGGTGCCTAAAAGGAGGCCTAAGGAACCTATCCACCCTAGCCCAAGCAATACCCCTAAGCACAACCAACAGTTCCAGAATCGGGAACAGCAGCAGTCCTAAGGCAATGCCGGAGATGAGGCTTGGAATGTGAAGAGAGGAGGGCCCGAAGTCCAAGGAAGGAATGTCGAATGAAGGGCAGACCGGGCAGGGATCGAACACCGGATCAGAAGGCTCAGAAAGGAAACGGTGGAGATGCAGGAGCAACGACGTCAGAGACAGACCTGAGGCAGACACCAGGGCCCTAGACATGAGCCGAAAGCTTGAGCCGGCTCCTTCAAGTAAAACATGCCGAAAGCATGTGTAAAGAGGTGCGTATGCATGTGAACACACAAACACACATATTTATATATATATACACCGATACGTACAAGTACATGTGCGCAGACTTCCAAACAGCTTGAAAAATGTCTATGCCTATGCATATGTTTCGTGGCAGTGGACTGATCAAACAGCTCCTCACTACACCCTATTGTAAATAAGGCCGTTGACGGGCTACCTATCCTAAGTCTACGTATGTCTACGCTATTGAGTGTATATGTGTGTTTATCTATAATCATACAACTTGTGGACAGCTTCACGTCCTCAAAGCAAGCGGACGCAACAAAAGCTCATACATGCAAGTTCACAGAGCGATGCACATCTGCATACACATACATGTGCGGCTTTCTTGCTGCTCCTCTTCCCACAAATTATGCTGCAAAACTCGATTCGTCGCCGTACCACAGATCCTCAAACCGATAGGCTTCAGCCCTATGCGGCCAGAAGCTTGCTGAAGCCTATATCCTAAACCCCCACCAAGGTGTATAACGTAGCGGCCTTTAATAACTAGAATAGGGCTTTGGGGTATGTTGTACTATAATTCTAATAAGGAACCCCCAAAATAGTATTGGTAATTATTGAGGCCCCTATATTACCCTACATCCTAAACACCCAGACCTAGACCGAGACCTGACCCAGCGTGGTCATCTCTACAACCCTAAACCCTAAACCCTGAACCCTAACCCCTAAACACCCGAAACCCTAAACACCCTAAACCCTAAACCCTAAACACCCTAAACCCAACACCCGGAACACCCTAGACCCTAAACACCCTAAACCCTAAACCCTAAACACCCTAAACCCAAAACCCGGAACCATTAAAGGAACCCTCGGAGGCTAGCAGATGATCCTTCCCGAAGTGGCGCTCGAAGCGATCTGTCAACCAGTCCATCAACGTCCCGCCTGCATGGAGTGCGGCCATGTGGGGTTTCGGGTTTAGGGCTTGGGATTCACGATTTAGGGTTCAGGGTGGGGGTTTTACAACCAGGGTTCCGAGATAAATCAGATCCTGATATTCAGGGTCTATGCTCGCATGTAGAATTCACAAAAATAGTCCCTCATATTGGGTCTTTAGGGTGTAAGGGGGATCCGTAGTCGCGTGACAGGCCGCACTTGGGAGTTGCGCGTGCTTACGGTTTAGGGTTTAGGATTTAGGCTTTAGGCTTTTAGGGGGGGACTTATAGGATTTTCGATTGGTGTCTAAATTCTGGAGTGGGCTGTGAAGTATCACTCTCGAGCTGCCCTGTGCACAATTGATGCCTTCAAGGTCCGCGGTCGTGGGCATTGGGCAATCCCTAAAATGCGGAGTTCAGGCTGCGTTGGGCGATGAAACCCTCACAGCTTACATTAAACTGGCTGGCAATGCCCGCGAACAATTCTGAAAAGCCCCCGATGCCCCTTCCGTCCTGCACCAGGAACTCTCAGCGACAAACCGGCATGCGAGCTTCCGATCAGCCCCCATGGACCCTACACCCTGAACCCCAAATAGGCCCCATGTCCCTGAACCCCAGCCTTTGCAAAGGTCAAGGACAAGGTAGGACAACCCTTCGTGCTCCCGGGCCTTCGACGATGAAACTGGCTGAAGCTTGCGTTAGATTGCCGCTCACAGAAACGAATAGAAGAGCAGGGATACCAGCAGCAACAAAATGAAACAAGAACGACAACAATCACCGGAACGGTTGGAAGACAAGCGGAACGCTTATAGCGAGAATGGAATCAAGTAGCTGGGCAACAAAAACGGCAACAAGCACCAGCGCAACAACCGCAACCACCACAACCACCAACAACAACCACATCAACCGCAGCAACAACAACAACAACAACAAAAGACAACCGACAACGATGCCCACAGCGATGCCATCGTCACCTCTAGCACCGACAACCAAGACAGAAGAGCAGAAACGTCCGTCCAAACGGCATCCTCGCTGCTGCCGCCATCATCATCAGCATCGACATCATCGACATCATCGTCATCGTCATATCATCATCTCGTCCTCATCATCATTCAACATTACATCATCATCATCATCATCATCATCATCATCATAATCCTGGCCATCATCATCCTGACCACCACCCTCACCAGCTACATGATCTATCATCCAGCTACATGATCTATCATGAGCAATTCATCACCATTATCACCAACATCATCAGCATCACGGCCAGTCCAGCCATCATCACCATCATCACCGATGGCAGCAAGCGTCAGGATTCACACGATGAGCACGATCGCGAGCATCGCCCTCAACATCACTCGCACACTCAGCATTACCTGCCTCAACATCTTCTTCAGAACTGTGACCGACTAAAAATCAGCATCACTGTTTCCATCAACGTTTTTTCTAACACTGGAAGCCTCCTCATCAGCATCATCAAGACCATGTTCATCTTTCATCAACACCACCATCTGCGACATCAACAGTCGCCAGATCCTACACAGCATCATTATTGGCATGATCAGCGTCGTCATCACCGTCAGGTCATCATCTTCATCATCGCCATCATCATGATGACCCTCGTCAACATCAAACATCTAACATCATCACCATCATCGTCATCATCGAAAATACTTAAGCACTTAGTGACTGTGGGTTCAGCAGTTCAACTTGTACGGCTGAGCACTTAACATATAAACCTCCCACAAAGTAAACGGATGTTCCGCATGCAGGTTCAAATAAAAACCGCTGCTGAAGCTGCAGCGGCTGTGGCTGCTGCTGCTGCTGCTGCTGCTGCTGCCGCCGCCGCCGCCGCCGCCGCCGCTTCTGCTGCTTCGGCTTCTTCTGCTGCTAAGCTACTTGCATCACAGTATGTGCTACGACCCCTAAACCATAAACCCCACCCTTCACAATGCTCCTTCTTCTGGAGGTACTCCTCTCGTATTTAACTTCACAACCTCCCTTAACCGCGGCCCGACCCTGGATCCTACGCCCTCACCCAGCAACAAAAACCGCTAGCATATCATATTACATTACATTATAATTGCATTATATTATGGTAAGTATATTACATTATATGATATGTTGCATTATATTGTAGTATATCACAAGTCTATTGAAATGTA